AACCACCCGACCACCTAGCTTGCTGGGGTCAGCTGGCCGGTCCGAGTCAGGTGAAGCTTCCAGTGACTTCCAGTGACTTTTTCCAAGGAGATCCTTGACAGTTGTATTGGAGCCTGTTCATTATAAACTTTGGATTTTTCAGCGATTTATTAAAACTCCTTTTTCGAAAAACATTTACTTGATGTTCCCACGCTACTGGTATACTCAATGACGACATTAAGCTGCACATATGAGCCACAGGGTTAGCAAATCAGCTAACTTTGGCAAAATTTCAAAAATTCCAGTGTTCCAGCAGTTTTTGTGCACATATTCACATATACCTATATGTGCAACAGTGAGGGTTTTTTCAATAGGATGACACCATAGGTTTGCTCGTGAACATGAAATTTGTCATTATCGTAAACAATGAAATGACACTAGAATACCATTTCAAAACAAAACAAACATTTGAAAATGAGGTAATCTGAAGTACGAAAGTGCATTTTGGTGGTTTGCAGTTAATATACTGCATTGCATGGACGCCGCAACCAATCGTGGAACGTTTCACTTACCAAGTCATTCATGGCTGCAACCTCCGCTTCTGTCTCTGCCTCCAAGGCTTCTAGGTCAACCGAGCTGGAGGAGCTGGTGTAGTCGTCGCTGACCTCCGGCGCACCCGTGGCCATCAAGGCCGCCTGTGAGGCGGCCACGGACGCAGCCGCAGCGCGGGCTTTGGCAGCCTTGTTCTGGATGCCACTGACCGCGTTACCTGGAGTGCGGCGGAATAGGGTCTGATCAAAACGCGTCAGAGTGCCACATGACTGCATGGTTTCCCCAAATCTGCCACCATTGCCGTGTTTGTGGCTCTGCGATCATCACCAAGGACAATGACAGATGGGTCGTTAGGAGAAAACTATAAAAAAACTTTGGGTACCGAGATAGTCAAAACCGCATGGCTGTGGGCAACAGGGTCAACTCTGAAAGAGCTACAGTACAATAAACAGCTTACCAAATCCATGTGCTTAGCAAAACATCAGCCCAGAGCCAGCATGACCAGCTGTGAGCACAGCATAACAATGTGGCCGGTAACCCAGTCTGAGCTTAGCAGCTTACCTGTCATGGAGAGGATTCCCTTGCCGCTTTCTTCCACCTCATCCGCTCCGGCCTCTCCGGCTTTCTCTTGCAGAAGATTCATGAATCTCAAGCCGGTATTCATGGAGTTTTGCTGCCAGGAAGAAAATAATCACCAGGTCCGATGACCAAAGCGTTTCCTAATATTTCTGCTGTTTCATGGTCAATTTTATGACACCTGGCATGCATATCTAACACATCCATGTGAGCGCACGTATGAGGTTTCAATTCAATTAGAGGCTTTGTTGTTCTGGTCATTTGTAGTTCACACTCTCATATGTGCCAACCCATGCATTGGGCACAAGTCAATAGAAAATGTTAACATCCAGTTTTCATAACATTGGTCTAAAAATGGTTGCAGGAAAACCAGTAAAAATTACTTGACAGCCATACTTTCAGACGGAATGTCTTTTTTGTGAGAGATTAAGATTGACAACAGACACAGGTGAAGGAAATCCATGGTTACCGCTGCCGTCGGAGAAATTTCTTCAGACGAACCAGAGGCCTGGACAAAAGCTGAGGCTAGCTGCTTCATGGAGCCCACGTTGTTCGGCGAGGAGAGGGACAGGGCTCCCATCATGCTCTCCCGCATCTTCACAAAGAAGATAAAAGATGAGATCGAGGAACTTAGTGAGCACAGCCACAGGATTGGTTCCTGCTGTACAAAGCTGCATTTGGGCTATCTTTGATAGGGACCAAGAAAAGGATTTTGACCACAGGGATGTGACAGGCGGCCGGATACCCAATACCCAACTGAAAGTAGTAGGAATCCAACTACACCTGTTTGGTCGACATTGCACGAAACACTTTTTGTAACCGCAAAATCTCTGACAAAAAAATTACTTTTTATTGATACAATGTTGATAATAGTAACAAAAAAAAGCAAGGTTTTGAGCATCTATTCTGAAACAACTTGCATAAAAAAGGGTAATTTTGTTTCAAAGAGTGATGTAGCCTGGAATCAGGCAATCGCCAGGGAAACTGAACAGTCACAATTTCACAGGGACCTGAAAGTGATACTCATAATAAGCACAACCCTACTTAATCACAGCTCTTATTCTCTGTGTGTGGGCAGCAAACAGAGCTGAAGCATGCAACAAGTGCTTTTCCCGTTAAAGGTAAGGAGGATCTTTTTTCCAATTCGTGCATTAACAGTTTGGGGCTCACCCAGAGACTGGGGTGCTAGCGACTACTTGAGAAGACTTGTGACTACATGTGAAGTAATAACAGTTGAACCTCATTAATAAGACCACTGTTAACGCAACATTCTGGTTATAACAAGGAAACTTTTGTCCCAGTCCTTAGTCCAAAGGACCTCTTATTATAAGGAGCTTCAACTGCGTTAATACTTTTGAAGTACGACTGCACTGAAGTTGGGTCTTTCAGATGACAACCCATGGCCAACCTGTTCTCTTTCCAGCCTCTCTGCCTCGGCTTGCTCAGCAGCGAGCCTCTCTGCCTCCCGTCGTGCCGCCAGGAGTTCGTCTTCCGTCAGTTCTCCTTCTTCCCCGGCATTCCGCTTCTTTCTCCTCAGGTTTGCGACTGACGAAGAAAACGTTCAGTCGTCATGACTCATTTTTTCATTTGTCAGTGGAGAAAGCGGGTCATTGGTTCACTCCAACCCAAATAACAATTGCACTGGCCAAGGGAGGGAATGGGCACCGGGCAAACCAAGAGAAGGTACAATTTTCCTTGCAACAGAGGCTCCTTTGGTGGGAACTGTACTTCACTGGTTCAAAAACGACCATGAAATGCATGCATTTCAGTTATGTCGCTACCGATAAACTGAACACTCCCCACCAACATGGCTCTTTTCAACCCATGGGGGGCTGCTTCTGCTCAAGGCAGATAAGGAACAATAATTTAACATGACATAAAATAATTAGGTACTACCAATTCGAATCGATACTAGGTACAAGCTTACGAGATAATAAATTCTCGTTATAGTTATCAATTCTCTTGTTATGTTGACCGTAAGGTTTTCCCACTGGCCAAACCATTTTCTGTTTCATGTGAAACTCTGGCAGGAAAAAAGGTCATTTAATTGCACGCTTACAAGTCCATCAATAAAGCATTCTCCTAGTCTGAATTTATAATTCCCACAGTAAAACATAAAATGACACCGACATTTTTACGCCTCTGTTTTTCGCTCACGAAACAAAGATTCAACAAAAGCTGTGATTTGTTTTTTGTGATCAATATTCTCTTTCAAAAAGAAGAAAGTCAAGTTTGCACTGTTCAAATTAAGCAGTTTGATAATGACAATTTTGAAAAGTCATTTCAGTAAAACTAAATTCTCTCAGCTTGTCATCACTCTGGAGTCATTATACTCGTCAATCACTTCAAAGGAATCTAGTTATTCCATCAACTTTCCTATTTCTTCGGCATATCCATTTCTTCTGTCTCTACTGCATACTCCCCAGTAAGCTGAGATGGATTTTAAAACTGTTTTGAAGCCAAGTAAGCAGGGACAGTAACAATCTGGCATCTTCAGTACCATTAGTAATAGATACATGCACTTAATACATCTCCGCTTATATTACTGTTTTTCCTCACCTGTGGTGGCCGTGTGGGTGGCGACGGTTGTAGCCATGGTAGCGGCGGCGTTGCTGGCAGCAATGTTCAGCATGCCGGCACATGCAGCGACAATGTTTGCGGCCCCGCCGGCATCGCCGGACGAGATCATTTCTGACATGACGCTGCCCTCGCCGGACGTCAGGTTCTTCAGCTTCTCTGTCATGTCGGCGCCGCTCAGGGCTGGAGCGACAACCTACAAAACAAACACGAGGGCAACAAATAGATTCCATGAATCATACGGTAGGAGATCTCCTTGTCTGCTTTAAGTTTTACACAAGAAAATCTCATCAAACACACCAAGCATCTCTTTCTGCTTCCATAGAATTTCGTAAGAGGCATTTTAAAAAAAAATTATAACCCTACAATTCAGTTCACTGTAAGAGTTTAAGGAGTAATTTTGCTTACTAAAATAACCAGCTGTGACAAAGCTAAACCAGAAAGGAGACACACTGAAAAACAAAAACTTTACCATCGCCAAAAAAATGCAAGTTTTGTTCTCAATTACTATACCCCTCGTGCTCATGCACGGAGCAGAAACGCTGTCAGCAAAGATGGCATTCCTCTTAAGCATCAGAACCAATAAGATCCTGAAAATCTCCAATGCAGAGACTTACATTGGGTCAGCAGTTACATTTCGCACTTCCTGAATCCTTTAATCTGGGTCGTCTTGATTCCCTTTTAGTGCATTGTGTTGGATCTCCCTAAGCCCCTTAACTGTTCGTAACTTCTACTTTTTTGTTTCATGACGAAGCTGGTCACAGAACTGAACCCGCAGAAACCTGCAGATGTAGTTCCAAAAGTGAAAACTCATGCTCACCTGAACCCTGAGCTCAAGGTCAGAATACGAGCCGATGTAATCATCCACCCTGACAAGGATGTACACGTAAAAATCCTCACTCTCATAGCCCTGGGGGAAAATAGATGGCACGTCCATGTACGGCTTCTCTCCTGAGCAAAGAAAGAACAGAAGGATACAACACTTTAGAAATCAATGTTAAACCACTAGCTGACCGTACACATGTATTATTCTGGCCACAAACCCAAACTTCACAATGGCAATATTGATTATCTAACCCTGCAAAAACAGCCAAATGCCAGGAAATTTCACTCTTGGCGGTTAGTGCAATGGCCGCATGGTGTTTTTCACCACAATCTTGTTCACTTGCCAAACTGTGAGGCTCCGCCATGGAGCGATGTTTGAGCACAGCAGTCAAGATCAAATTCAACACACACTCGGCTTCTAGATTTTCTGGAATGTGTATGTGCTCGTCAGCCCTTGAAGGCTTAAGGAAAAGTTGGGGTCTGACATGCCAGCCAACCTTACGAATATAGGCAAATCTGGTCACCTTGTCACCGGACATTCCCAACAGCCGCCTTCAATGGTGGAAAGAACTGCATTAGGATTACTCAGAATGACCTGCCATAGACACTCCCTATGCACAGTAATGATCAGGCTGCTTACCACCTGGCCTATCCAGCGATACTGTATCCACGGCCATCGCGGCCATCTGATGAAAATTCTCACATATAATGCTATAAACAGGCACGTAACCGTGAAGCCACAGCTTTGTAAAGTACTTCAACATAGGAAATTCAAACAATGGTAGAAATTAGCTGATCCATTACATGTAAGCCTCAGTGCACACAGCACTCTATCTCTGCACAACTCGTCTCTACAATGGTCACTTTAAACTACCGCCCACGACCACTGGGCAACTTTTACCAAAACAAGCAAGTTGGCAGAAGTCTGCTCTTGTAAACATACCACTGTACATCCAGGTCCAGGATTCGGTGGGTAGGAGTCGCTGGGCGTAGCGGAAGGTGAGGGGCAGGTCAGGGTCAATCCAGTCGTTGCAGAAGATGTTGAACTCCGTCTCCAAGGCTGTGCCGTTCTCCGGCACCACGCTGCAGTTGCCAACGATGGGCCGTTCATTGGTGATCAGGTCCAAGGAAGCCATGCCTTGGTAACAGAGACGAGCAAGACCATAATGTAGTCAACATAGGAGATGCTATGAGCTGATGGCAGCCCCTCTGTGGTGGGGTTGTAGTCGAAACTATCACAAAACGGCCAGTCACAAGACCAGTCACAAGACTAGTCACAACAGCATGAACAATGGTGAAGGAATGTTTCTGTTGCAGTAGTGAATAGCTTGTTGTGACTTGAATTCAGACTTGATGATGTCTTGTGATAGTCGAATGATGATCTTAAGATGAGGTTTCAACTACGACACTGCTCTCTGTGGACAGCTGCTTGAGAGTGCCAACTGGAAATACATGCTCAATATCTCTCGCTACAGAGAGTGAGACCAGTCACTGGCTAAGGCTGTGTGCAAAACGGACTTCCAAGGCTACACTTACATCGACAGTCTGCACGTCTCTGCATATTTTCAATCGAGTGAAGACCTAGACCAAGCTCTAGACAACAGATTTGGACGCAGCCTCAGCTTGGTACGTGAAGGCCAAAAAGTGAAGACATTCAAAAGATTCTACGCTTGTTAAACAGTTCCCTGACAGAACGTTTTACTACAGTGTTGCCCTCAATCAGCCAGTCATTTTTGGAAAATAACATTCCCAAAGAAATAAGGTCTTTTGACATCTTGACTGTTACAATGAAGTGACAAAGCAGAGAAGCCAAATTTAACACTTAATATTTCTCCTTTACTAGTGTACTTGTTTGAAAAACAGTGTACAGCGATCTTCCAAATGAAATTTCCAACTCATGCTTGTAAACTTACCATAGTTTGTGAAATCGGGAGACCGGTCGCAGTAAATGCGAATGCGGTAGGCGGACTCGTCCTTGAAGAAGCCGGCATCGATGGCCAGATTAGCCATGTCATCTCCTGTCCCCGAGAAGGACAGCCACTGCCCCCGGTCTACCACCTCCAGACTTGTGGCCACGCCGTCAGAGACAGCCTCGTAGATCTCCCATCTGTTGCGCGGAGAGAAACGGGATGAGGTAATCACAAACCATGACCCCAAAGAGGTAATAAGACATATTGCTCAGTGATGGGATTGCTGACGCTTAATCCATGGTCAGAGGTTCGAGTCCCACAGCGGGTTATATGTAGTGACCTTGGGCAAGTCACTTTACTCCTTGCCTCTTTCCATCCAGGAGTACAAATGGGTACCTGTGAAGGCAGAGACAACACGTGGGTGAACAGTGACCGATGAATGGGAAGTAACTATTGACCTTTCCTTTGTCGACATCACAAGCAGCGTTTCTGTCAACCATGGTTAGCAAAATTATGACTAGCCATGTTACAAAATCACAAGAATCGGTTCTAAAGCGTTAAAAAATTATGCAAATGTTAAAATGCTAAACAGTAAACACTTGTATGTAAATACATGTATAACTGCTAAACGGGAATGTCTCCCAATTTAAAAACCATAATGCAGAATGTGCATTTTAAGGCAGAAATTGTTGCCAACCAAGACTGGATTTCCTACAAGCTTTGGCCGTCCATACAAAATGGCGGTCAATGTTTGTAAACAAAAGAGCGTTCAAATTGTTGGTACATGTGCAATAGAAAGTGTTGTGTAAGTACAGTATAGTGTACCACAGGTGTTATTATTAAAACACAGGCATTGCATGAAACCTCAGGTCACAACATGGTGCACCTTACTCCTGCATACCGTCAGCAACTGAAGCAGGACAAACCAAAAGTGCACTATGTCTCCAAGTGGGCAGATGCGGCTGTTAAACGACTCCGGGCTGTTTTGCATGCACTGACTGGGATGTTCAGAGTTCCTCCGACCTTGATGAATTTGCTGAGGTCATGGTTGATTACATTACATTCTGTGAGGATTTGTGTATTTGTAAGTCAGCGGTGAAGAGATTCGCTCATGATATGCCCTGGTTTGATTGGACTGCGCGTACCCATCTTTTTGCCAAAGAAGACGCTTTTAGATCCGGTGATGCTTCATCCATTAAGAGGGCCAAGTATGATCTTCACAAGGCAATTAGAGACACGAAGTTAAGGTACCACGATAAACTGGAGGATGATATCTCTGTCACCAACTCCAAAAACCTACGGAGAGGCTTCAGTAACATCACAGCGATTAAACCTAAGCTGAGACAAACACCGGAGGACAATGCAACCCTTCCAGATAAGCTGAACAAGTTTTATGCATGTTTTGATCGTCCGAAGGTCAATTTACCAATTCTGAATGTATCACTATCTCCACCATTTGTGATTACGCTTGAAGACACCTGTCGGGTATTAGGAAAACAAAAAGCCAAAAAAACACCTGGACCAGATGGTTTAAGTCCACACCTTTTGCGATCTTGTAAAATCGAGTTGTGCAATATTCTATGTAAACTATTCAACTGCTCATTGGTAACTAGTCATGTGCCTAATGTTTTTTAAAAATCCATTATCATCCCTGTGCCTAAACGATTGCCAACTACTTGTCTTAATGACTTCTGTCCAGTAGCTCTGACCTCTGTTGTTATGAAATGTATGGAATC